GTCTTCTTGTACTTTTCTGGAGGGAGGACGTGGTCTCACTGCATCAAGAATGACTGTCTGGGCGAAGTCCTGTTCCTGGTCACCTCCTGTCTACAGATAGGACCCTGGGTACCTGCCTGCCCAGGTCAGCTCTCCATTCTGCTCATCCCAGACCCATTTCCTCTGCATTCTCTAGGTCAGGTGAGGAAGCCACTGTAATATAATTTTTCCCTTAGCCCTGACTTATACCTTGAAAAAAATAGCTTTGCTCCTTTTAAGCCACATGGAGTGTCGTGAAGACTGGAGGTGAAGGTGCACATGTGCATTGAGAGGATGCCCTTTCTGTGTCTTTCTCTCCTTGTGTACTGTCCTCCCCTTTTTCCTAAGCCAGTGCCTCAGCAGTTAGTGACGACACACGTTTGGTCTGACCGTCATGGGCCTTTAAAAAATGTTTTTCTTTGTGGGTGTGGGGGCCTGGGCATAGTGCCTATTTTCCAAACTGGCAATCAGGACCAGTTGTTCAGCATATGGTTTGACAACTATACCAAATATTTGAAAAGGGGGACATGCTGGAAAATCTGAGGTTTGCAATAGTCACCATCAGGCCAGAGATGGTGGGCTTGACCACTTGCAGCCAGAGTTCTCAGTGCTGGCCAGTGGACCACCCTCAGAGTCTTTTTCTGCCTTTTTGGCCTAGAGTCCTAAGGGACTGATTCCTTGCTGAATTTCAGTTGATCACATAGTTACTGACCATCCCTACCAGGCCAAGCGCTGTGCTGCTGTATAGTGCCACACAGGTACGGTGGGCTCTGTTCTCAGGGCCCAGCCCAGCTCTTTGTGTGCAGCTTACTTAGGTGCCAAGGTCACTGGAGACAGTGAAGGCTAGGACTCTTGCTGCCTGTGGTCATGGAGTCTGGGTAGAAACTTAACTTGGCTGGGAGCCAAGAAAGAGACTCCAGAGTGGAGGATTTTCACCTCCATCCCACCCCTCCTCCATAGTATACTGTGTGGTTCCCTGGGAAGCTGTCTTCTATCCCATGCACAATTATCCATCCTCTTATTGCTTGGGGATCTCACTCCCAGGCATCCTGGAGCTAGCCACATCCAGTTTTGTGTAATCCAAGCATCATCTGCACAGCTGGATGGGACCACTTGTAGTTAGTAAGCAGCTCTGCTTCTCCCTTAGGCCAAGGTGTTAAATATGTATGTTCCAGTACGTCTGTCCCCTGGGCAAGCATGACCTTTTGGCTACTGAGCTCAAACTTTAGTCTGCTTCTAAAGGATCATCTAGAATGAATACTTACAGTGCTGCCATGCAACATAGCTTGACCCCTGTTGTGGCCAAAAGATTAGGTCTTTGAAGGGTGGCCTGCCTTACTGTGACCTTGGTTTGGACTTCTGTGGTGAGACCCAGAAGAGGAAGGTCCTGTCTATCCAGGAACTTCAGGAATAGGGGTCATAGTCCCCACTCTTGACATTCCAGGTCCAGTGGGTAGGGCTAAAGCCTACACCTGTGTACATTCCTGCCTAAAGAATACTCAACACCAGCATGTAAACAGCTTCAAACACAAGATAACTAACTATTAGGTTTCTGACACTGCTTTAGCAAGTTAACTCAAATGTAATGGCTTAAAACAACAGACATTTATTCTTCACAGTTCTGGAGACCGGACGTTCATGTTCAGTTTCCCTGGCCAAGGTCAAGGTATTGGCTGGGTCATGGTCTCCCAGGAGGCTCTTGGGGAGAGTCCATTCCTTGTTTGTGTCTTCTGGTGGCTACAGACATTCCTTGGCTTGTAGTCACATCACTTCAATCTCTACCTCTGTGGTCATAGTCCCTTATCTTCTGCCTGTGTCTGATTTCCCTCTGCCTCTCTCAGATATAAGGACATTTGTAATATAACCCATATAATCCTTGATAATCTTCCCATTTCATGATCCTTAACTTAATCATACCATCAAAAACTACCAAATAAGGTAACATTTATAGGTTCCTAATACCTTTGGGTAGCTTTTTTTTTTTTTTGAGACAGAGTCTTACTTTGTTGCCCTCAGTAGGGGTTCCGTGGTGTCACAGCTCACAGCAACCTCAAACTCTTGGGCTTAAGCAATTCTCTTGCCTCAGCCTCCCAAGTAGCTGGGACTACAGGCGCCCACCACAATGCCTGGCTATTTTGTTGTTATTGTTGCAGTTGTCATTGTTGTTTAGCTGGCCCGGGCTGGGTTTGAACCCACCAGCCTGGGTGTATGTGGCCAGTGCCCTACCTACTGAGCTACCGGGGCTGCATGGGGAGCCATTTTTTAACCTGTCATACTTACTAACCTCATCTCCTGCTACTCTCTACCCCTGACTCTGTTCCAGCCTCATCATTCTCAAATATCCAGGCGTGCTCCTGCCTCAGGGCCTTTGCCCCTGACACTCCCACTGTCTGGGTTACTCTTACTTCAGCTATCCACATGGCTCACTCCCTCACCTCCTTCATATGGTCATTCAGATGTTACTTCTCATTGGAGATTTTCCTGACACTTCAAATTATGCCCTTCCTGCCTGGCTTCCAATCCCCTTTCTTTGTTATATTTTTTTCCTTGACATTTATCACTGTTTAAACTGTCACCCCAATTAGACATAAACTCAGAGAGGATAAGGATTTTTGTCATTTCGTGTGCTATTCCATCCTCAGCATCTGGAACAGTATCTGGCACATAGTATGCCTTTAGTAACTGTCGAATGCATAAGTGATGTACATCCAGAGCCCATCTGTATAGAGGAGACACAAAGCAAAGGGGCAGTTAGTATGAGGTAGCCAAGTTAGGAGCATCTCCCTGCTGAGAAGACTGGGAATAGTTGGCTTAGAGGTCAGGTGTTAAGCTAAGAAAAAGGAGTTGGGGATGGGTTAGACTGAGTAGGACAGAAAGCCTAGTATGGGGAGCCCTTGGAACGAGGGGTCAGACCATGATCTCTACCAGACAGTGGTACTGAGGCAAAGTGATGGCCTTGGTAGCACAGTTCACACAGACCAGGCAGTAGTTGGTAGAAGATGTCGCTGAGCAGAGAAAAGTGCGATAAAATGGGATTGACAGAGAGCATCCGAGCTGTCATGATTTTCACATCCTTCTAAACTCTGCTAGCCTGCATATCTCCTTTCACCCCCTCATGTATCCCAGAAGAAGGAAGAGACTTGAAGGGTCTGCATGAGATCTTAGTAGAAGTGGTGCAGCCTGAGTGTGGCTGTTTTTCCTTCCTCTCACCACCTGCTCGTGAGTAGCAGCTTCCGGGAGGAAGGGAAGTGGGCATCTTTGTTACTTTAGCCTTAGTCATCCTCCTCCATAGCCTTTGCACCTTTCCAGGAACAGTGGGCTTAACACAGGTCTCAGAGCTTTGATTGGCAGAGCCAGTAATCTATAGGGTTGGCTCTAGAGCCCTGATGGGGAGGACCATTTGTGTGTCTACTGGGTTGAGGTGGCTGTGGGAGAGATGGGTCTTCAATCCTTTCAGTACCTGAGGCAGCCTTTCTAAGGCTCTGTCTGATGATATCCTGGTTTCAAGAGACACAGACATTTAGAAGTAGACCAGCTGCTTGGTTTCCATATTCTGTCAGAGCCAGCTTCACCTGCAGGGCTTTGGGGTATGTACCAAAGGATGTACCATCTGCCCTTTTCCTAAAGAAAGGATTTGTGGGGGAATGGATCTCTGGGTGCTCTCCCTTGTGGTGCTAGCTAGCATTGGTACAGAGAAGTCATGGCAGTTGTCTCACCCTGGCTGTGTCGCACGGCCCAGTAAAAGTGCTGATCCCTAGGCAGCAGGGAGAAGGAAGAGCTAGGGAGTCCCAGGCCCCAGTGGCACCTCTCCACTGCAGCTGTCACACAGGGCCATCTCCCACAGCCTGCTCAGACTCCCCCACTGAGCTCCTCTTAGCAGCTGTTGGGTGGTGAGTAGTTCGGTTTTTTTCTCCCCCCATCCTCCTCCTTTTCTGTTTGCAACAACCTCTCGTGGGAGGTCGGCTGATCTCTTGGAGGAGATGGTTCCCAGGCCCTCATGTTTTTGGCAGCTTGTACACAGAAGTCAGAGAGTAACTGGTTCCACTGGAGCGTTCCCCTTGGGGCCCCTCCCTTGGAATGGAAGTAGGGATACTGATGGTGGGGAGGGATCTGGGACTCTTCAGCTCTATCTATGCTTGGAGCCATAGCTTCCTCCCTTGGGTGAGGGGTGAGGAAGTGGTTCTCCAACTCCCCAGCCTCCCATCTTGGGCTCCCCGTCTTCTGTGCAGCAGTGGGGAGGGGATGGCTGACAGAGCTCCGTTCTCAGGAGTAGGGCAGGCCCTGGTTGTGGGCGGGGAGATGACAGGGCCAAGAGGGGTCAGAAATCAGGGCTGGGATCAGAACTCTGGGCCCTCCTTTCTGAAAATGTGTTCTCCCACTTATTCAGGAAGACTTTGGACCCTTTAGCAACTTAACATGTTCAGAGAAAAATCAAGGAATAAACCTAAGGCATCACACCATAAGGACTCCTGCTTTTGTCGGGGGACCCATTTTGACCTTTTTCCTGTTTTGCCAATTTATGATTCCTGATGTACTCTTGTCTGTTAACTTGTTTTCACTGGACTCCCAGGAAACTGGGCCTGAGCTAGGCACACAGGGTGAGAAAATAAAGAATGTCAATGATTCCCTGAGCCTGTGCTCTTTTGGAGCTGGTTGGAATAGGAGAAGTAATACTTGTCCTCACCATTGGGAAGCATCTGGCATTACTGGAGATACAATACATGTATAAAAGCCATAAAAAAGTAAAGAGAAGGTCAGCCCTATTACATCACTAGGCCCTATTTGCTGGACAATTTGGAAGGAGGCAGTGCAGGTGGAGAAGCCTGAAAAAAGAAAACAGGCTAAGAGTGTCCAGGAGGTTGCTAAGCAGATGAGAGAGAAGGCTTCAAAGGGCCACCCCCTCTACCTAGGAACTGTGTGCATCTGCTTCCCCAGTGCCTGCCTGAGAAGCTGCTATGTCTCACTGTGTTTCTCTCCTGCAGACCCCCCTATCCTGGCAAGAGCTAGAAGGTGAACGAGCCAGCTCCTGCACACACAAGCGCTCAGCATCCTGGGGCAGCACAGACCACCGAAAAGAGGTAGCTGCCCCCATTTCCTCCCTGGCAAGGGTAGCCACCCCCTTTCTATCCCCCAGCACCATGTGAGGTGTTTGCTCCAAAGTGAAATCCCATTTCTCGTCTCACTTGCCTCGCTCGACCTATCCTTTTCCTAGTGAGATGGCTCCTTCATAGCTGACTCTCAGCCTCCTGGTGCCCAGGTTTTAGGGACCTAGATCCTCCTGTGAGGGGGGGTTTGGCCAGCAACTGCTGGTGTGCTGCCATTGTTCTCACTTTACTTTGAGGCTAGATTCAGATAAGCAGTTCAGAGACTGAAGGAAGATCAGGGAGCAAGTTCCAGGACTTGAGAACCTCATTTTCTATTTAACTATTCAGCCTTTTTTTAAAAAAGAAAACAAAAATAATTATGGGTTCCTGAACACCTTTTCCTGGCTCGCCCTCTCCCTCAGGCGGGCTAAAGTGGTTGAGATTGGGCAGAGAAAGCCATAAGCTGGCATGTTTCAGGGCTCCCAAACCAGCTCCTCTTGATGTGCTGTGTGGCAGCTCCTGAGAAGATCAACCCGCTAGACTCACCCTCAACCCTTTACAAGAGGAAATTGCTTCTGCCCTCTTTGTTGCTGAGAACTATAAGAAAATATGAAGTGAATACACTGTGAGTTTAAGATGAGGGGGAAATAAAAAATACTTAGTTTTCAATGATCAGATTAAGCAAGTTACTCACTTGCTAAGGGTGGTGACTCATCAGTGACCCACAGTAGCAAATCTAAAAAAGCACTTTCTTCTCAGCTATAGTCATAAATTTTATGGTTATGGACAGCAGTTCCACTTTCTGAATTCCGTTTAATTTAGCTCTGCATCCCCTGGGCATTTTCCAGCTGAGGGCAAGAAGGTCCAGAATTACACATACTATGGGGTTAATATTCAAAATCATTAATGGGCTGGGTGCTGTGTGGCTCATGCCTGTAATTCTAGCACTCTGGGAGGCCCAGGCAGGCAGATTGCTTGAGCTCATGGGATTGAGACCAGCCCGAGCAAGAGAGAGACCCTGTCCCTAACAAAAAAAATAGCTACATGTTGTGGCAGGCACCTGTAGTCCCAGATACTTGGGAGGCTGAGGCAAGAGGATCGCTTGAGCCTGAGAGTTTGAGGTGCTGTCAGCTACAAAGCCATGGCATTCTACCAAGTGCAACAGAGTGAGACTTTGTCTCAGAAAAACAAAATTATTAATGGTAATCTATAATTGTGACTGAACATGGAAGTCAAGATGAAATCCGATATTCCTTCTTATTCCTTCTTGAGAGCCTAGTAGTATAGTCTCCTTTAAAATGGGGGAGAATATTTCCACCCTTCCTGGACTCAGGGCCTTTGAGATAGTTGTGAATATACTTTAAAGAGTGAACTGCCGTTGGCATTCAGAAACATCATCTTCTATTGCTATAAATAGAGTTGTAGTCCATGCCTTTGGAATCTGTGAAAGACAAGATGATTTTCAGTGTTGCATATTTTTAATTTTTTGGAAACTGATCCATCTAGTTAGTAAGGTATCCAGCTTGTCTGAGGAGCTTATCATCACAGTTTTTAACACCACCATGCTATTTTGGGATGGAGGATTAGCTCCTATCTTCCTTTTCTGTATCTTGATGGGCCTCTGGCAGGAGCTGCACCTGGGAGGGACCCGGTGCACTTCGCTTTGCTTCACCTGCCTCTCCTCTCCCTCTCTCTGGATTGCTAGATTACCAAGTTGAAGCAACAACTGCAGAGGACAAAGCTGAGCCGCGGTGGGAAAGAGAAGGAGCGGGGTTCCCCACTGTTGGGGGACCATGCTGTGCGGGGAGCACTGAGGGTATGTTGTCCTGACTCTCCCCACTTCCTGTCTTCCTGCATGCCAGGCCCTATGTGGACAGAGTTCTCCCTGGTCTCACAGCTACTACGCCCTACCACAGGCGTCCTCAAACTACGGCCAGCAGGCCACATGCAGCTCGCCTAGGACATTTGCCCAGCCTGCCGGGTGTTTTTGCCACCGCTGCCTGTCCTGCTTAGCAGCCAGCTCGTCCCAGGGCCCACAGTCTGGCCCTCCATTGGTCTGAGGGACAGTGAACTGGCCCCCTGTTTAAAAAGTTTGAGGACCCCTGCCCTTCCATGTCACTGTTTTGTGAGGTTTTAGTGCTAACTTGGATATGCTGGTAACATTGGAAGGGCTGCTTCTGAATTTCCCTCACCTCTATCCCTACCACTGTACAACTGAGGCAGTGACTCGAAAGCACTCCAGACCTGATGGGGCTCTGACTTTTAGAGGAAACCCTACTGATGGACCTACTGCAAACTCTTAACTGTCCCTTATCACCCTTTGTTCACTTGGTTCTGCTGTGTAGACTTGACCATTATCCCCTGGTCAGAGCTAATGATTCTGTGGGGGTTGGTGGGGCTTTGCATGATGGCTTCATTTGCCTCTTCAGGCATCCCCTCCCAGCTTCCCTGCAGGGTCCCCTATCCTGCGACTCAGCCCCTGCCTGCACAGAAGCCTGGAAGGGCTCAACCAAGAGCTGGAGGAAGTGTTTGTGAAGGAGCAGGGTGAAGAGGAGCTGCTGCGGGTGAGTGGCAGCTGCACCCTGGGAGTACAGCGAGGAGGGGAGCTGGGAATGTCACTGGGAGGAGCCTTAGGGGTTGTGGCTACATATACAGCAATATATAAACACCAGCCTTCAAAAGGAACACAAATGGAGTTTATTAGTCTCAGATGGACTTAGGCACAGCGACAGCAGAGATGGGTGGGCATCGCTGGGGATGGCTTTGTACTAGTGAGGAGAAAGAGAAGGAGTAAGGATTGGCAGAGTGGAGGGTCCCTAGGTTGGGGAGTGGTCAGGCAAGGCACCCTTCTTCAGTCAGACTGCCAGCTCTTACTGTTTCCTACCTGTGCCTCAGTTCCCACTACCCCATTGCCTGTGTGAACATGTCCCTCCAGTGCTACCTGGTGATGTGCCTTCATCCTCCGTGCCCAGTTGCCCCTGCTCAGCCTTCTCCCTGCCCCACTCCCAGGCAGAATTATGTGCCACCTTTTCTGCAGTCTCAGGCACATTTTTATACTGACACAGTACAATAGGGGAATGAATGTCAGTTGGGCAGTATGAATATAATTCTAATAGGTGCACTTCTCAGTTTATGGTGTACCTGCTAGTTGAATTTTAAAATGGATACATAGAAGATTTTATACACACCCAAGCACATGCACACCATTGGAGCTGTGGGTACAAGTACCATTGAATGTTTACAAAGGGGAAGTAAGAGGATGTTACAAGTCTGATAATTATCTGCACCCCAGTCCTGTAGTGGCTCATAGCACTTAGGTTTGCCCCCATTGTGCTCCCTGCATATACTATTCATCTTTGTGTTCCCAGAGCCCAGCACACAGGAGGCCCCTGCCCTCATGAGGTTACAGCCTCAAGAGA